TATATTATATATGTATATATATATATATATATATATGTATTTATATGTATTCACATAAATGCAATTTACATTGATATTACCCACCCCTACCTCGCACGATGACTCATTGCAGTGTCTTGTATTGTTTCCAGCATGTTTATTAGCGTGTTTTCAAGTTGGGGGATATGTTTGCGTAGGTGGTGAGTTTGGCTATATGCGCTGTTCAACCCCACTCAAATCCTGTGTAGTATAAGTGTACCAATAGCGTACACTCATATATGCACATCTCATGAAATCATCCGACGTAGGCTTATGATGCCTTTGCTCGAGACATGTCGCACACTTTAAGTTCCCGTCTCTTGTCACTTGTCATCAGATCATCTTTATAACTATACACGTGATGTATGTTCATCTCTTTATAACTATACACGTGATATATGTTCGCCTCTTTATTGCTACACACGTGATGTATGTTCCCCCAGCCTCCACCGGTTAATCTTGTTGCTTTAACCCTTTTCAGATCATTTTTGGGCTTGTGCTGAACTTTGCCGACCATGCCCGGTATCCCTTATACACTGGTAAGCAATAGAGCTGTGTGGATGTCCTGTCCTGGTTCAATAGCATTGTCTTAACTTTAGATGATACCGTTTTCAGTCGTAGCATCGCGAGGATTAGTATATAAGGTGCACCTGGTATCAGAATAATGAGTGCACCCAGTTTCAACATATTGGGTGCACCTAGTCTTAGTATATCAGGTGCACCTAGTATCAGTATATTGGTTGCACCTAGTATTAGTATATCAGGTGCACCTGGTAAAAACCCTAAAGCCCTAAGCACCTTGTATCAGTATATTGGGTGCACCTAGTATTAGTATATAAGGTGCACCTAGTATCAGTATATTGGGGGCACCTAGTATCAATGTATTGCACCTAGTATCAATGTATTGCACCTAGTACTAATATATCGTTTGAACGCTCAGTATCGTCGCGCCAGATGGCAGAGTACTTCTTATATAGCGTACACAGTTGAATGTCTTCTTATTTTAGCGCAGGCAGTGGTTAGTGCATCGAAGGAAAGCGTGACAACTGCGTGAATAGTTCAATTATGAATGCGAATTCGCATCATCTTATATGCAAATGCGATGTAGAAGTGTACCAGTGCCAATTATACCCGTAAGTAGAAACAGAACTTGAAGTCAAAGGTAGAGGGGTTTCTCGGGTGAATTTACCAGCGTATGAGAGTATGTAGGAGACCAGCAGCAG